CTCACCTGGCCTGCATGGATGCGCCCGGGCCACCACGCGATTGCAGGCTCCCTCACTCCACCTTCAAATGTGGTCTGCTTCCCGCACAAAAAGGGGCCGTTACTACCGCCTGGGGAGGGAGAGTTGTCGCCCATCAGTGGTTTATCCCAAGTCCCCAGGGCTGCACATGCCCTGCTGGGCACTCACCCACACCTGGCCCCCGACCAGCTATCGAGAGGTGCTGTTGATGGAACACCGAGGCACCGGGACCATCACGAAGACCAAATGACCGGCCATGAGGTCAGGACGCCTCGAGATGGCTCTGACCCAGGTGATTGTCCTAGATGCTCTGGTTGTAACATCATGCCCCTAAGGAAGAGTGGCTGCTCAGAAACAGAGAACTCTTGTTAGCACAAGTCTCAGACGGTCTTCAAGCAGAGCCATGCAGCATATCCCAATAGCAGGTCACTGGGATTCCTTGTCACTATTCAGATATATCACTTCCTAACTGTTACTGTTCACAAGTGTCCCTGCATGTTTGGGGTTGGGGAGTCTAGTTAATACACCAGTCCCTGGGCCTCACGGGGCTGTCCCATCAGGGATGGGACAAAGATTCATTTCTGACAAGCCCCGCTCTGAGCAGGTGGTCCCTGAACCATGCTTGAGGAGGTGTCAGAGGGCTGACGGGTCGCATGTCCTGCTCAATCCCAGAACACAGAGGAAGGTTCCTGAGAACAAACAGGGTGTCTGCTGCTGCGGCATGAGCTGCCCAGGGCTCACCTGAGGCCCCCAGAAAATGAGGAAAACAAAACAGAGCAGTGCTTTTCTAGCAGGAAGCCCCACAGCTTGTCCCGGACACCGGCACCTGAACTCCATGTGTCAGTGCAGGGCAGTCTTGAGGGGAGAGCAGCGATGAACACATAGGGACAGCAGGGGCGGGCGGGCCAGTGTGAATGCAGGGGCAGTGGGGAGATGAGGTGCGCCACTCTGAGGATGGGCTGGCTCCTCCCAGGGAAGGTCCGGGCTCAGGGCGCCAAGGAANGGGGGCATGAAGGTCAACGTTTGGTTCAAAGATTCTTTAAAGCAGACGGGAGGAGAAACATTCCAGCGGTTCCCTCCCTTCTCACTTAAAAAAAAACACATTTATTTTTAAGGACAAAAGAGAGAAAAGAAAAAAAAGAGAGAAATCCAGATACTTTAACCGTCTGGAAAAATAAATAAGGAGGAGAGATTGCGGGGCCGGGTGGGGGTGGTGCGGGAAGGAGCGGATATCTAAAGTCCTCATATCAGCACAGAACAGCTGGGCGCACTCACGGAAGATGCTCTTTTTGAAAAATAGACACTCTCGACGTGCACATAATGTCTTTAAGAAAACGCAATTTGTCTGCCATGGGCCCGTGGCAGAAGTCACCAAGGCTGTTATCAGCACTTTCAAGACTTAACTCTGAATCAAAGGCTACAATTAATAAAGTCACCCCGCCAGGCATGAAGGGGAGAGCTAAATATTTGAAACTGGTTGGACAAATGGCAGGGTGTTTTTAAATAAAATCCTCTCACAGTTATCACAGGGCACAGGCCTGATAGCCCCGTCTAATTCAATTTCAGTGTGTGTCATGGGATGTGGTGGAGGGAAGGCAGCCGCACAGCTCTGTGCGCTGTGTTCTTTCTCCTCCAGGGAGCAGGAACTAGAGGGGCTGGGAGCCAGGCAGGCAAAGGGCAGAGCATCCCAGGGGCTGGAGCTCCCACAGGTGGGGGGTGGGGAGAAGGGGTCTCCACAGGACCGTCCCAAGGGGGAGAGGCTGTGTGCATGTGTGGGAGAGGAGGCTGGGCTCCATGCCCCATGCCTGGGGGTCTGGCCCAGCTCTGCCACCTGCCAGGTGGTAGGTCCCA